AATTTAGCGCCTGGAAACTCCGCACAAATTGAAGGGCACATCAATTAAAGTGCTCTAGTTCTAACTTTATTGAACATAGAATGGCTTACTTTAGTGCTTGCGATCTGCGCTTTGTAAAAGTTCCGACCGTGCTTCTCTGCGCAGAACTGGTCTGTTTCACATAGCAGAAGCTGTAGTAGGTCCAAGGCAAATGATTATTGGGAAAATTCCCAGAGGGTTTTCTAGCGATGAGATCAATCGTTAGAGATGGAACTGAACATTTATGTATCCAGAATTTGTATTATACAAAATTTATTTGTTTACAACGGTTTACAACCGTGCTGTATCTTATGTAATCTCTATGTAGGCTTAAGCATTTCACATCACTGGATGAAAGATCACGAGGCGATATTTAAATTGATCTAAATTGCGATCTGTCTATAATATATTTTTCAATATATTAATTCTCTGCATTAGTTAAGAAAGAAAAATGAACTAGCATGCTTATTTGTCTGAAAGTTGAAAAAATCTTATAATTAAGAAACGTTTGCGTTAGAATGGTTTACACGAATTGATTTTTAATCTTAATCCTAAGCCACTGATAAATTAATTAATCACTTATTATTTTATAAACAATTATAATAGACAGGTTTTTTTTTTAATTTATAGACCGGATGAAATGGATTTCATTTGTGGCTTTTCTATTATAATGTCCTTTAGTCCATTGTAACGTTTATTCGTCTACAACATGGAGCAACTTGAACAGTAAACATCAAAATTATCTGCTAAACTAGAATTTACGAACTAAAAACACAAATTTCTGCAAAGAAATTCATTGTAAGTACTTATGTATAAACTCAATGAAAATCATAAGAGAAAGAAAGCAACTATGTATTACTTTTTTTCTTTATCTTCACAAGGGGTATCTGAATATAAATTATTTGGTTTTGTTTGAAACTAAATCAAATGCAGTTTTATGCACTTAAATTTGCATGTTGTAAACAGAAGTTTCATCTTCTGACTATTTTATCAATTGGATTAACTGAATTAGGGCAACCCGCGCAACCCCTATCTGCTTGAGTATAAGGATGCCTTCGTGGTGGTCTTTTTAAGAGAAAGTGGCCCGTGTTCGCTTTACCCACTGGGAAAACCACGAAACTATCATGAAGCTATCCTATTTGCAGGTTGAACTACCAGTAGTCAGCTATTTTACCGCCGGTAAACGGATTATTTAATCAGAAAGAGTTGTTAAATAGAGTAAGAAAAGTGTTTCAATTATATTAATTTATTTACATTTAACTTTTTACAACGTAAAGCCAAGTTTTCATAAAAAATTAACTGGCATTTCCTACTTTTGGATAACTTACATTTTAAAACTGAAATATTGAAGTCAAATTCCTGAATTTGATATCCTATTTCAATGGATTTCAATCATTTAGTTCCAAATACACTCTGTTCGTAATTGAAATTTACAGTCTGAAATAATTTTATAATCAATTTTAGCAGAACTTGCTATTCTGTACTAAACTTTTAGATGTCGTTATGAAGTACTTATTAAATAAATCTAAATGATCGACAGTGCTTCAACACTGTGTCGACGTACTTTCAAGCAGTTAATCGTAAAGTTAGAATATCAGTAGAAAACTATTCACTGATGACATTACAGTAGAATCCTTTGTACCAAGGGATAGGATATTTGAATACAGAAATTCCATTTTCGTGAATCCTGAAAAAACAGTCACGATTTGAAAAACTGGAAACTTTGCTCCTTTTTCTTCATTCTATTCTTTCAAATCTTAATCTAAATCATTTTCAAACTTTGTAATTCACACTTTCAAGATCTGGAAACACTGGTTGGTTTTATTAATACAATAAATAAATAAAAAAGAATTCAAAACATAAAAATATAAAAATAAATTAACCATTTAAAGAAAAAGTCGTGAATTTTGCAATTTTATTGGACCTGGATCACTAACATCATCTCTTGAAGGCCCTAAGGCCATATTTTTAATTTTCTGGACAGGTTATGTTAGGTTGTTTGAATATATCAAAGGGGCATCTATCTAAGAAGAGTGCTTTCGTGAAAAACTTTCCAAGGAAAACTGGCTCGTATTCACATTATACATGGGAAAAACAAAGAAAACTCCCACGCAGTTAAAAATCCAATCTATTCATTCGATGTCAAACTTCGATTTTAGGGGGCTATAAAAATTTAATTTCCTTAGGAAAAGGAGTTCCAGTTTTAGCATTTTAACATATGGAAATTTAAAATCCTTGCCTCTGCATTCATCTTTTCCCCACGGAAAATGCACTTTCTAAAAATCTGCATTGAAAAAAGTTGACTCATAGCTATTTTTAGCATCGTTTACATACAGTCCCTCAGAGAATTTTGATCATATGAGAATGAACTTTAAGAAATTAGGAAATGCCTGTAGTTTTGTCTTCCCTTTTTATTTTCAGATCATTACGGCCCGTTATGCTACCAGGGCATTTATCATATACGCAGTCTGGAAATTCGCTAGGCCTCAAAGTGCTCTTTCAGAGTTCCGTAAAATCTTTATTTTTCAGATTTTAACTCGGATTTTCAGATTTAATCTTAATTCATTTCAGATTTTCACATTTAATCTTAATCAATTGGTGATGTAAAGTTACTTCTTAAAAATTTATACAACCTCTTTTTATTTTTAATAATATCTTCAGAAGATTCAATTCCTGTGATTCGTGATATATCTAAATGATAATTACTGGTATTTGAATATTACATTAATTAATAGCACATTATCGTAATAATAATTCGTGTTAAATTTTTATTAAAAAGTGCTCTTTGTCAAAACTTATTACAGTTTGAGTGTTTATCTGAATCGGAACCATGGTTCTACGTCTAGTCATTTAAGATATCTTTAACGTTGCAGTAATTTGGAAACACTATGAATGATACTCACGTTAACATCTAACTGTTCAGAGGTACACATTTTTACTCTTAGAACTATTCTTAGTTGCCTTGAACTAAAAAGCATCAGCTTTGTATAATAAACTTTAATGCTATTCTAAAACATAAAATTCTTTAAGAGAAAAATTGCCTGCAGCGCAGTGCGGCTAAGAACGCTATTCTACTGAAACATAAACATGAACAACTGTTGGCATTCACACAAACTTTATAGTAAAATAAAGCACGTTGCCAGTAACAAGATTATTGCAAAAATCATAACATAAAATTAAGCAGTGAGGAAATAAAATATACAAAGAAAAAAAGAAATGCAAATATTAAATATGCATCCAACAATTGTATATATATCAATTGTATAATAAATGGTGTACTACTGAAATAAATGACAAAGGGTATTTTCTTCTTACTTATGACAGTCAATTCTCAATGCTGTGAAAAGAGGCTTTTAAGTGATTTTGCTCCATATAAATTAGCGAATTTTTTATATCCGCAACTGTTTTACTAGAAATGGCTAATAAATCATTTCGGATAAAATCCGTAGAAAATCATTTTACCCGATTTTCGATTATCCGAAATAGCAGAGTTCCACATTGTCTCGGATGTTCTAATATATGAACAAATACAGTAGAATCGTGGTTAACGTTACTGAATTGGCGACGGAATAACCAACCAGGAATGTCTAATAACAAAGAGATACCGAAGTTAGATTGTGAAACGAGACTGGTTGATAAAAAATGACGTTTTATTAGAAACAATGAGCAACAAAAGACAAGCAGATTTAATTACTATAAACTAAAGTTGATACAAGCTTCTATATTTTTGTGTTCACAATGTCAAAATTATTTCGTTGGAAAACCAAGATAATTTTATTACCATTATTTATTATTATATTATTTATCAATGCATTTTATAAACATTATATCCGGCAGAAAAATATGTGTAAATAGGGCTTAATTTCCATTATTAGAAGTACCGGAGGCCTATAAAAGGTCATTAGAAAAAAGTAAAAAAATTAAATAAATAAGATAGTGACTAATAAACTAAAATTAAATGCAAATCAATAATTAAAAAATTAATAAATTAAATTAATAACCGTTAGCAAATAAATTAAAATAACCGGAGTTCTTATTTGAAACTCTGGCTGGAATTAAATTTTTACCCAAAATTTGAGATGCACCGGAGTCAGGCTTTAATCCTTGAGTGGTAAATATTAAAGTTATATTATTTAATTACGGTAAAGCCTCGAGGGTTCTGCCAAAGGAAAGGGCTGCCTTCGCGAGAACTTTCTAAGGGAAACTGGCTCGTATACACATTGCACATGGGGGGAAATCCACGAAAACACCCATGCAGCCAGGCCGTTCGCGGGATTCGAACCGCGGACCGAACTACCAGTGTTCAGCGACTTCACCGCTGGTGAGCCGGTAAATATTAAAAAATGGTTAAGTATGTACTTTGTGGAGTTAAACATGTTGTTTAAGTAAAACGTTAGTTAACATATTTCGTTTTCGAGCATTGTCACCAATGGACCGAGTAGATAAGACCGCTGAATACTGGTAAATTAGACCTGGGTTCAAAATCCTGGCAAACGGACTGGCTACATGGTGTGCGTTTTCCCAAATGTAATGTCATGCCAGCCTCAGAGGCGGTGGAGTAGAATTTGGGGCTGGAAATATTTTTAAAATTTTAACGCACACAATAGGCAGCATAATTTAGGGGAGGAGAAATTTTTAGAATTTCGGAAAGCATTGGGTAGCAGAATTTAGGGCCCGCAGAGATTGCACGGGGCAGCAAAATGCCTAATGTCGGTTCTGTGTAAGGCGAAGTAAAGTTTTCCTTAGAAAGTACTCCACAAAGACTCTTTAAGCCTGATATCCCCAGTATGCTTTGCCATAATCTAAAATTCCAAACCTTAGTTGCAGCTACGCTGCAAGCATAAAACCTTCACCGTTATTAACCTCTGTTGGATGTTTCACACATATTAAATTAGTAATAATAATTAATGCATCCCATTGTCCTATTATGTTTAGTATGTCACTTTTCTAATATGAATTTTATTTTCATGGTGTGTTTTTAGGACAAGAAGATAAAGGAAGAAGGGTTTTTAAAAGAATAAAATTAGAAGTATTTCAAGGAGGAATTAAATGATATATGAACAGGATAAAATTTCGCATTCCTATGTACAGACATCTTTAGGGTGACTTCCTTTCGTAAGAAACAGCCTTGGCCTACAGACCAAAGTTATACATGTATAAAACGACAAATATTCAAATTTATATGTAGCAGATATAGATGTGAGTGAGTAAAGATTTGCACTCTGTCCACAAGGCGCTCTTCTAAATTACCGGGAAAAGGTCGGCATCGTCGAAATCTCCTGCATTTTCAGGAGACATTTTCACGTATAATGATTAGCATGTAAAGTGCTATCACTATTTTATCACACCGTTTTCTGGGAAATATTGCTAATAACCAAGCGACCATGAAAATTCTGGTAAAACTCCGAAAGTCATATCATGCGATATTTCTACTTAGCATATCGAGAATAGTTCGTTGAAACATAAAAGGCAGCTGGTGCATTTTACATGTCGTAATTCAGAGACATCTGCGTATCCCGCTATGGAAATAGAGAGCAATTTTATGTAATCCAGTAACAGAAAATAAGCTGAACTTTCAGCTGTGTTCTGCGAGATCCCGACTGCATGAGGAATAATAAACGGTATAAATTAATTTCCTATATATTTATCAATACAGCAGTTACCTGATTTTAAGAGAAATAATAAATGGTTTATTTTAATTCTCTGTGCGTTTTATCTATATATATTTTCCTGAACACTTGAGGAATAATAAATTAAGTATTTTATTTCCTACCTGATTTATCTCTATATGTATATTCTTGTACGCGTGTACATAAACTGCGAAATAATGGTATTTTAGGGCGAAATTTATCAATTAAAGAAAGCTAACTGAAAGCACTTTTTGTCATAAATCATTCAACAGACTTTCCTGTATGCTTACATCGTTTCAACCATTTATAAGTGCGGTGTCTGTAATGTTATAAGAAGATATATAGAAAGGTTATAATGTACTTCATTATTAAGTACGAAAAAATGCTTTGTTTGTAATGAATTATTATTTTGCTTGCAAAATTTAGACAATTAAACTTGTGGACTGAAGTAACCAAAGTTACTTCTAAAATTTAGGAAAAGTTTATGCATTTTCTAAGGCAAGGACAAGAGAAACTTAAAGGCGAAGTTTGACCTTAGTTTGGAGACGATCTTTGTTAAGCATTTCGAAAAAGTTTCGAATGTAGATCTATCTCCTTTCATGAAATGTCAGCTTTGAGAGAGTATTGCTGACTGATAAATGGAGAAACATCTAAATTAGTCTCTCAAAACAGATCGAGAGTGATGCCTCGAGATTGTGATTTCTTTTATTTAAAAATGGCACCAAGCTGAGGTATAATTTCACGTAGTTTTCTACAGCATTTATTGTTACAAAGCTGGAGAAGATAATGTTGCAGATTTCTTGTTACGCATTTATTTATTAGTTCAAGGACAAATTTTTCCTCTCATTACATATATCTTCATTTTTAGTTCCTTCGAGTTGCAAAATATTTTTAAGCATCTTTTACCTGTCCTTCCAATAATACTGTGAGCAGATATAAAAGCACTTATTTATTCACTAAACTTTAAGTTTCACTGATTGAATTCAATCTATAAAACTCAGAGAATTTCCCCATTTACTGAAATTAAAAATCTGATGTGAGAGAATCTTTACAAGCATTTTACTTGTTTATATCAAACATTCTTCAGTCTTCTGATAAAACAGTTCTGACCTTTATCTTCAATCCAAATCTTTCATTTTCATCGTAATCCAAAAGAAACAGGAAATAACAACTTTCATCAAAAGCAAAGGCGTCACAAAAGAGATATAAACCTTAAAACAGTGAAGTGAAGTAAGAGTGTAAGAAATATGTTTTCATACACATTCTTATTTCGATAAAGAATTTTAATGATATCTTATTTAGCTGTTTTATGACATTCTCGGTTTAAGCGCGCTCATCATGAAACAAGGACCGTAAAAAATACTAAGCTCGACAGAACTAAAGACGAAATAATCATAGAAACTCCTTATATCTCACTGCATTTATCTGGGAATCTGCAAGTGAATATAGAGCTCTAAAGATTCAGTTTTACAGTAGCAACAAGACATTGTGCTTATGTTACTGAATATGCATTATGATGCTTTAAACAGTTCATCAAACATTTTAACAGTGTCGTTAAGTTTGATTTAAATTCAGTATTTTTGCCGACAAAGCATTCGTTGGGAATTGTAATTGCACCCATGAATTAATCAACCGTCTTGAATGCCGAGAAGGCTGCTTAGACTGTACTACAAGGGATGACCGATACTGTGCTCGCTAAGAAGGGAAAATAAAACTCACGCATAAGCAAAGCTAAGGCTTGCATGGGAATCGAACCCAGAGATAGTGATTCTTATTTTTATTAACTAATGTATCGTCCGGGGTGTCTTAAATTGAGCATGAAAAGTAAGCAAAACCCTTCGAAAAGAAGCACTGTTATTGTAAAGTAATCTCCCAAAAGATGGCTGAATGAAATACATTTTTTATGATTATGATAAAGAATAAAAGTTTAATGATCAAATGAAGATAAACCAACGATTGCTACAGAGAACCGTATATGCATATAATGAAGACACCTAGACATACGCATTTCCAGTTAAATAAGAAATTCATCATTTATAAGGTTTTTTTGGGGGGAAGGGGAGATTGTATGTGTGTGTTTCCCATTACGAATACCGTAAATTAAAGTATGAGTTATCTCAATTATGAAAGCTAAAGTAAAGAATAATTTGCACAAGCTGCTTTCTTTTGAACTTATTCTTGTAACCCATAAAACGGCAGTAAATATGCATTTGCTATACTTCTTATTCAAGCATGGTATTATAAGCGTCACAGTCACACCATCGTTTACATTTAAGATCATTTTATTTAAATTTACACTCACTTTAATGTGCAGTTTGGTTCTTGTTGAAGCAATTGCAGCAAAATTACTTAAACTTGCATGTCATTAAATTTTGTCTGTACTGAAATAGCTTGGTAATAAAATTAAAGCTTATGTTCAAATGTAATTTTCAGTTTGTAGAAATTAAAATGCATTAAGTTAATTAAATTCGGGTTACTTATTTAGCCTATCTTCAGCTAGTTTATTGAGGTTCCGAATCAAGTAGAATTTATATATAAGAAAATTAATTATTTTGTAGCAGTTCGCAATATTTGCGCATTGAATAGATTTACATGCATACTTCATTTCGAAATTCTGTTAATTCCTTTCGTAGTCCAGAAAAATTTTTGTCTCTACTTACCCCCTAACGCATTGACGAATACCTAAAAGCATTGAAGAGTTAGAGACATCGATGACCCACAGTGGCTATCTGTTACCAGATGTTCAGTAACTCAGTTTGAAATATTTTAAAGTAAACTGTATTGAAAATATTTCAGATACGACCACTGTGAAATTTATCTACTTTCGATCTCACTTTTATTAATTATACACGATAATGAAAAGCAAGGGAAAAAATGGTTTGCGATATCAGTTTCAGCATACGAAGTTTGTGTAATCAGCGCAGGTGCTCGATTATTGTGACGCTCTTGAAATTTTCATAATAACTTATTATATCTTTGCATTTCCTAGAAATCGATGCGTTGCAATAAAGTGCTGAAATAAGTCATAATTATACTTCTGAGAAGAAGACAATTAGAATTCATTTCGGATTGTAACATCCATGTACAGTGGGTACAAAAAGTATTTGCACACATACATTTTTGTTCACAATTTATAAGAAAATGCATTAATAAATACAAAAATTGGCATTTAAAAAATAGAATAAGCCTATTCATTTAAATTAATTACAAAAAATACAATAATATTAATAAAAAACATTTTTTGCAATAATATTAAAATAGCTTATGTCAAAAAAAGTATTTGCCACACTCAACTCAACTCTAGCAAATTTGCATTTTATGCTATTATTTGACAGTCATTCCCCGCAGTAAATAATATATGTAAGACGACTATAAAAGGAGGTGTTGTCGAAACGTTATCAGTTGATTGCCGATTTCAAATTGTAATGGCACCTAAGAAATCTGAATTGTCGATTTCATTGCGAGAAAAAAATTTTTTTTCTCTACGTGAAAATGGCCTAAGTTATCAAGAAATAGGTAAAAAAAGTAAATGTTTGCTTCTCTACTATTTGGTATGTTATAAAATGTGAAAGAGGATCTACATCAAATAACTTGCGCTCTGGACGCCCAAAGAAACTTTCATTCACTGCGAATGAAGCGAAAAATCATAAATAAAGAGAAGCATCAAAAATCCATTTGTTAGTGCAATTACTTTAGCCAATGATGTCGCTTCAACATCTGGAGTTCAAATCTGTGCCCAAAGTGTTCGAAATGTCCTGCACGATGCACACATTTATGGGAGATCACCAAGGGAAAAAACCTCTCCTACCTGAACGAAACAGACTGAAGAGACTTGAATTCGCTAAGGAATATATAAATAAGCCAATCGATTTCTGGAAAAATGTCATATTCTCCGACGAGAGTGAGTTCAATATCTTTAAATCAGATGGCAGAAAATTAGTTTGGAGAAAACCTTGTGCTGCTTTTCATACCCAAAATGTGTTACCTACAGTTTAAACATGGAGGAGGTTCTGTTATGATTTGGGGGTGCATGGCTAGCAAAGGAATTGGTAATTTGTGTTTCATTGATGGGAAATATGACAGCTCGAAACCTATATTGATGTGTTGCAAGATAACTTGCCACAAAATGCAATAAAATTGGGTATCAGTAATTCGTACTATTTTCAGCAAGACAATGATCCCAAGCACACTGCCGGTATAACTCGTATGTGGTTGCTTTATAATGTACCAAGGAAACTTGCCGCTCCACCACAATCACCAGACTTAAATCCTTTGGAAAATCTGTGGAATTCTTTGGATTTAAAAATAAGAAAAAGGAAGATTTCAAGAAAATCTGCCCTTATTGAAGGGTGACCTAATACTGAGCTTACTGTTACAGAAAATTTAATTAAATCAATGCCAGCAAGATTACAAGCAGTAATAGATGCTAAAGGCATGCATACTAAATATTAGTTATTTTAAATTTATATATTTTATTTCTTTTGTATTCATGCAGGTGTGCAAATACTTTTTTGATACGAGATATTTTAATTTTGTTACAAAAAAGCATTGTTATTTATATTATTGTAATTTTTCTGTTTGTTTTGGATGATTAAACTTATTCTGATTTGGCAATACCAATTTTTTTATTTCTTAATGCTTCTTTTTATGAATTGCAAACAAAAATGTAGGTGTGCAAATACTTTTTTTACCCACTGTATTTCTTCCGAAAACAAACGTTTCTGTAATCAGGTCGAATGCAAAGTAGACTTGCTGTTAAGAAATTGGTTAATTAAAATATTCTTATTTGTCATCAAAAAGGAAAATTGCGGCTTTGCAATGAAGGTTTGTCAATTTCCTGAGCATTTCGAATGAACTCGTGAATTAATTAGGAACTTCTGAATAAATTTCCGAATTCTTTATCCGAAAATATAGGTCAAATTTGAAACATACGATTTCATACTTTCTGCATTGTTTGTCTTCAGTAGAATGCAATTTGTCAATAGATATCCTATATTAGAATGTTAATTCACTTTAGATCTCAGAAGACAAAAACTCA